AACTTTAAAAAGCCAATCACAAAATAATGTATGTCAGATGACTTTATTTATGTGAAATGTCAATAACAGGCAGATCCATTAAGAAAAAAAGTAGATGAGTGTTTGTCAAAATCTGCAGGTGAAAGGAATGGGGACTGATGCTAATGTGTATTGGGCTTCTTTTAGGGTGATGCAAATATTCTAAAATTAGATCATTGTTATGATTGCCCAACACTGGGAATATTATAAGAAAATTGAACTATACATAGAGTATGAGAATTTTATGCCACAAGAAATAAATCTTAATGATAATGTAGCAAATGGCTGACAGACAAAACACTGTTATTTAAATTTACATTTGAAATCAATTTTCTTAAAAGTTTACAAAGTGAAACTGTCACTTCATGGAAAACAATCCACAATGTTTATAGGCATGTCAAAATTTCAGCTCACAAGCAAAATTTAGAAAATGTGTTTCCTCACCTATGAGGTTGATATCTTGCAGATATTTACATGTTTTCCTGGGTAAAAGTAATACTCCTATGAAGGAATGTGAGTTTTTAATCCTGTCTTAGAAGTTACTACGGCATTATTTGGAAGAACTGCATAACTCAATGTAACAGTATTTTTCAAATGATCAATGCATAATATTACAAAATCATGTATGAATAAAAGATGTATTCAAATTGCAGGAAAATTCAATTCAATTGATTATAATTCAATAGAATCCAAAAAGTTTATTGATATTATTTCTGATCACATGGCAACCAATATTTAAGAATCTTCCATTAGTAAAAGTTTGGTGCGGTATTAAGAGAAATATTCAAAATTATCTGGAAAAGATATTAAGATACACTATTAGAACTATATTTCTATGTGAGGTCACCTTTTCAGTGGCCTTAGGCTTACATCACAGTTCCTGGAGGGCAGGGAAAAGAGAGGACTGACCTGATAAGTGTTCGATAACTGATTAATAGAAGCACAGGCTGTTTTGGAAAATACAGTTTGTTTTATGAAGATATTTGGATGTACGCCATCATTTTTATGACCTCTCTGTATTTGGCACTATCTGACGGGTGTCATTGCCTGTATGTCCCTGGATGCAGAATCTCCTTCTTGAGCGGTCTGCGGTGCTGGAGCAGGACTGGGCCTAACCCTTGCCCTGAGCAAGGATGTTCATCTTCATCCTTAAGGTGGAATGGAGAGCTGTTGATGGAGACTGACATAAAGGCAAAAAGACAACCAAGATTCTAAAATATGTGGTTGTTTCAGTGATTCCAGAGATATCCTGGATGCTGAGGAGTCCAAGTCACACCATTCCATCCTGTGCTGTGTCTTCCAGGGCAGTAGACATTGCCCTCAGTTCTGAGGGCTGAGCCCCCGCAGGAGGCTGGACCAGCCAGGAGAGACACAGAGACCTACAAGCACAGAGCAGGGTCTACTGTGTGGTGGGCAGAGCTGGGAGAGAGACCCACAGGGGCCTCAGGAGCCTGTGCCTGGGTCGTGTGTCAGGAGAGTGAGGAAGGGGGGACCCAAGGCAGGATGGGGTCACCCATAGCCTTGCTTTTTAGGACCCAAAGAGAAGGCAGAGCTGTCTCAAATCTTTTTACAATTCTGCTCAGGGAGCAAAGGACAGGATCCTTCATACAACTCCGCATTCCCATCTGATTTTTCTGGCTCTTTTCTGGATTCTGTTCTATGAAACTGTCTGTGATAAGTATAGGCAGATCATGAATCATGGACCCTAGGTCCCCAGAAAGACCCTGACAGTCAGTGACAGGAAGCACAGGTCAAGGAATAAGAGATTCCCCAACATCAAGACTATTGACTCTGCATAACCTCACAAGATCGGCCCAACACACCCCATGTGTGCAGAAACATATGCCCAGTCTGTATGTGACAGGCCAAGGCAAGGAATGGAGATGATCTACAATATTGTGAGAATGGTTATCATAGTCACTGCATGAGAAATCATGGATGTGAGTTCCACTTTTAAGCTTTTGGAAATGGAGTTAGTGATCCTGAAATTACACTGCACCCTTTCTTAGAAAGGGCCCTCTATTTCCTGAATTCTGAGCAGTAGGTAAGAGGTCTCAGGGTCCTTCATGGGGGGTGGGGGACAATCAGAACCATATCACCCAGGTGCACACTGTAGGTGACAGCCGTCTGAGCCCAGCAGCAGTCAGCTTCAGGCCTGCTGCACTCACACTCTGTCCATCAGCCACAGAGCAGCACATCCTGCACCTGCTCCCCCCTCTTCCCTAACTGAAGTTGTCATCCCTTGGCTCCTCCTTGTTACATGTCTGAAAAAAATGACCTTCTGGATTTTAAAACCAACATGTCACTCACCCATTTCTCAGAAACAGGGCATATGAAAATTGATTAGGATTAACCCAGGGTGATATGTCAATTGATGCCTTTAAAAAATTCAATTTCTTTGTCGAAATGTCTACCTTATCATTCACTGCAAACCTATTTTATAGGAAGACCTTGTAGTCAACCTATTTTAAAAAATGGAATGAACTGTTATCTTAAGCACATTGATTGTTTGAAAACACAAATGGGAATACAGAGAAATAAACTGGGAAAACATTATTCATTTATTTAATATTTCTTTTATTTCCCTTGTAATGTTTTGTCATTTTCAGGTTATAAGACATTGATTTTTTCTCATTTTATGATTAGCATTTTATATTGGTGTTATTATAAATGATATTGCTTTTCTGTTATATTAGATGGTTCATTGCCAGTCTATAGAATGCAATTCCCCCTGCATGTTGGTGTAGGATGATTAAAACCGTATTGAAGCTCTCGGGACAGAGGATTTGTGAGTCACTCCTGGACTCTGAGTGGGGTATGGATGGGATCAACTTGAATTCTGCCAACGAATCCCATGGAATGTTTTTGCTGTGGTGGGGTTGGTGGTTTTGTTTTTGTTTTTGTTTGATTGGTTTCTTGTGTTTGTTTTAATCTCTGGGCAAGAAATTTCCACCTGGGCAAGGTGAATGAAGTAAGGACGTAAGAACAATGCATCAACCTAAAGGTTAAACTTAAGAAAAAAGATAAACATGGTCAGATCTATTCTTCTGATGAAAATCAGGGGCTAACAATAAAAGTCACCCCTGAGCTCCACTTGCCAGAGCCACCAGCAGGGTAACTGAGCAAAGTCCAGATAGAGGAAGGGAGGTTTTGTTTGTTTGCTTTTGTTGTTGTTGTTGTTGTTCTGAGACGGAGTCTCGCTCTGTCTCCCAGGCTGGGGTGCTGTGGCGCAGTCTCGACTCACTGCAAGCTCCGCCTCCCAGGTTCACGCCATTCTCCTGCCTCAGCCTCCTGAGTAGCTGGGACTACAGGTGCCCGCCACCACGCCCAGTTATTTTTTTTGTATTTTTAGTAGAGATGGGGTTTCACTGTGTGAGCCAGGATGGTCTCGACCTCCTGACCTCATGATCAACCCGCCTCAGCCTCCCAAAGTGCTGGGATTACAGGCCTGAGGCACCACACCCAGTGAGGAAGAGAGGTTTTTGTGTGATTTCGCCTTGGGTCTAGAACACTCTGTGAGTCTTACAGCTGTCACGTCATGTAGTATGGTAATAGTCAACCTTGTCCTCAGACTGCAGCCCCGTGATGTGTGGAATTCCTGCACTGGAAAGAGCACTGTTGGATCCTGAGGAGCAGGTGGGAACCCCAGAGCCCTGGTGCTTATCTGAGTCTTATTTGAAATTCAGGAGATGCCTGGGAGTGCTCCCTGGCTCCTGTTGGTACCTCTGTATCAAATAGTATTCAACTTTGAGGCCACTGCCCAGGGTGCAGGGGAGTGTGGCCCTTGCTCCCAGAGATGCAGAGAGGGAGAGAGGCTGAGTCAGCACCTGCTGGGAGAGGGAGCCTGCAGACACAGACACAGCACAGTGGGGAGCAGGGCCAGGCTGTAGCTGCTGGGGGATCTGAGCCATGGGGGGCGGATCAGGCTGGGGCCACCCTGGGCTCAGAGCCCAGTCTCCACTCATGCAGTGAGAGAGGAGCAAGAGGAGGAGAGGAGTCAGGGCCATGCTGGACACAGTTGCCTCTGAGGCCACAGACCGGGGCTGGGCTGCCCCAGGCCTCTCGTATGCCAGCCCCGCCGTGCCCACAGAGGAGGGGCTGCCCATGCAAATGAGTCCCCCCATTGCCTCTGCCCCAGGTGCACTCACAGGGTTCAGGCCTTTGGACAGGGAGGCTGGCGTGAGGCAAGAGTTTGCCCCATGGGTGCGGCCTAGGAGAAAGCAACTGCTGGGACCACACAGGCCCTTGTTCAGGGGACTCTGTCAGCTCCAGAGGGGACAAAGCTGCAGAGTTCTCAGAGGAAGCAGTGAGTTAGTCCGGGGCGTCTGTCAGTTCAAGCTTCCCCAGCTGTGAGCACCTGTCCCGCAGAAGCCGCTAGAGAAAGTCTCACTGCACCCCCTGCCGGCCTCTGGGTGAATTTCTCCTTTCTAATGGTCCGGAATCTCCCCTTCCCTTGTCTCCCTGACTCCAGGATTCAAATACGTGAGAGGAATCCCTAAGGGGAATAAGGGAACTGTGGTCCCGAGGCAGCCGCCCCTGAAATGGGGCCTCTCTCTAGGGATGGTGGCCCGGTAGGGAGGCCCACGTGGAATCGTGGCCCAGGAGAAAGCTTGATCTGCTGCAAACCGGGCACACAATGCCTGAGCTGAGTGCAGAGGGGCGCTCTCCACAGGGACAGCTCAGAGGAGGAGGCGCTTGCTGGGGATGCTTAGTGGGACTAGGAGTTCACCGAGAGTGAAACAGATCTTCACACAAGGGAAAACAGGCCACGGGGATGCTCAGCCCCTTCCAGGGCAAGGCATTGAGACTGTGGGCACTGGAGCCGCGGCTGCAGGTGTAGAGGTGGGTGTGTGTTCCAGGCCTCCCGCAGGGAGGATGTGCGGGACCCTCAGGTGATTCTCCTCCATCTGCTAGGGAGATGCTGTGCCTATTATCAGTTCTCCTATGAGAGACTCAGCTCTGGGGAAGTTCCAGGACAAGTTCTAGAACTTGGGACAGGAGACCTTGCAAGGGACGTTCCTGGCCATCTGGAGGAAGATGACAGCAGAGGAATTAGGGAGGGAGGGGAGTGGTATGTGTCTCAGAGGTGGGGGACAGGGACAGGGACAACTGAACCGCAGGCTGTGGCAGAGGAGGAGATGGTCCAGAGTGTGTGGTAGGTGGAGGGTGACTTTGAGAGAGGCTGTGAAGCTACCGCTCACAGGGTTGAGGCAGGTGGAGAGCATATCTGAGGGGCTGCAGTGGGTCTGGCTGTACTTTTGTCACATTGTGGTCATGATACAACAGTGTGGGAACATGTTAGCATAATTTAGAGACAATCAGGGCCACAGGCTTGCTTTTGTCTTCTAAAAGTGTAATGCAGGTGTCACCCACCAGACAGAGGACTTGGAATAAGTCATTCATTCATTCTTTAAACACTTATTTAAGGAAAGCCTGACATTTCAGACACTGGGGATGTAACAGAGGTTTGGGGACAAGGCCCAGGCCACTGGAGCAGGAGGAGCTGGGCAGAGAATGGGAAGGGAGATGACCCCAGAGCATACTCCAGGATTGGAAACTTTCTAATGTCCCCTAGAAGAATTGACTCTAATTTAGAGTAAGGGTTATTCAAAGATCTTTCCCTCCCCAGCATGCAGCTCGGGCTGAAGGGGCATCTCAGTGGCTGCAGGGCCTATGGGTGGCCAAAGCTCCAAGACACCTCGGCTCTGATCTCACATGGGGCCCAGGTGGAAGAGCAGGCAGTGGGGAGAAGGGCACAGCCCCTGTCCCAATTGAGGATACAGCAGCAATGCTGGTGATGGTGGCCATGGGAGTGTCCCAGTCAGACGTCCCTCCAGAAGAACCTGCAGGAGGAGCAGAGGTGACTGATGCCCTCCTTCCCATGGGCTGAATCCAGGCAGTGAGGAGCCAAGGGGTGGCCACAGCCAGGTCTTCCCGCAGGAAGCAGGGATCCTCTAATGGGCACCCCCCATGTAAAGATCTGCTCAGTCTGCTGAGGCTGTTTCTGACCTGCCTGTGGTCTGGGGCTCTTCATACCCCCCTTCCCCCACCCTCTGCTTGCACAGGGGTCAGAGCTATGAAGCGCCCTTCCTATGCCAGTTCCTTCCCCATGT